AGGGCGTACGATAGAGTTGAATGAGATTTTCTGGAGGCTCTTATGATTCGAATGAGTTTCGCACAACGTTAGGTGGGCCTCATTATGCAATGTGTTACTACGGTTTCTTTCCAATTCGTTTTAAATGGTAATTATATTTGTAAGCTTTCTCTATCTAAGGGCATTAGACAAGGCGATCCCCTTTCCCCTTATTTATTCATTCTTGTTGCCGATGTTTTTTCTATTTTGATTTTGAAAGGGGTTAATGATGGAAGGCTATCTGGGATTAAAGTAAAAAGGTGAAGCCCGGTTGTTTCCCATCTCTTTTTCGCTGACAATTCTTTGTTTTTCATCAAGGCTAAAAGGGGAGGGTTAGCGGAATTGCTACGTTTACTTCATTGTTTCTGTGTGGCCTCCGGTCAAAGAGCAAATTACCAAAAATATGGTATTGTTTTCTCAACCAACACCTCTCCAGATCAAAGATCCTCCATATGCCATCTTTTGGGAATGCAGCCCCTCCCCTATTGTGCTAAATACTTGGGTATACCTATTGTTTGGGGACGTTCTAAAAAGGAAATTTTTAGCTATTTGCTTGAACAGGTCGCTTAGCAACTTCAGGGATGGAAATGCTCTTGCCTCTCTCAAGCAGGTAAGGAGGTCCTTATTAAGGCTGTCATCCAAGCCATTCCCAATTATGCCATGTCCGTGGTTGTTTTTCCTAAAAACTTGTGCGAAACTTGATTGCTATGTGCAAAAATTTTGGTGGAGTGAATCTGATAAAAATTCTGGTGTCTGTTGGAGGAGTTGGGACAAGATGACTGATTTTAAGGCTGTTGGTGGCATGGGTTTTAAGGACTGCAGATTGCTTAATCAATCCCTGTTAGCCAAACAATGATGACGCTTACTTGCGCAGTCGGACTCCTTCTGGTCTAGGTTTATGAAGGCGATTTATTTTTCCGAGGTTGATTTTATGAAGGTTACATGTAGCTCTAGACCCTCTTGGGTATGGAAGAACTTGCTTTATGGGAGAGAGCTACTGGATAAGGGTCTTTGTTGGCAAATTGGTGATGGCAACGATGTCTTGTTTTGGAAGGACAAATGGATCTCTAGGCTCCCAAGCAAGTCTGTTTACTCTGAGATGCCCCTATATTGTTCTTTGCTGAAGGTGGCTGATTTCATCAGGCCGAATCCCAAGAGATGGAACATCCCCAGGCTTTCATTTATTATCTCCAGGGATGATCTGTATGCTATCCAAGCCATTCCTCTTCCGTTTTATGGGGGTGCTGATCAACGAATTTGGTGGCCTAATAGGAATGAGGCTTTTATAGTGAGGTCTACCTATCATTTGGGTAAGCTGCAAACAACTGTCCCTCAAGCGGTTGGCTCTTCAGTCTCTTCCCCTGTCTCGAGTTTGGAAGTGTCTCTGGCGTATGACTGCTGCCTTGAAGGTGAGGCACTTCTGGTGGAGAGCTTGCCATAATTCCCTTGCTACACATGATAACCTTTTCAGGAGGAAGTGCACCTTTTCCCCTCTCTGTCAAATCTGTTCGTCTGCTCCTGAATCCATTGAGCACCTTTTGTTCGAATGTGGCTAGACCAGTAGTGTGTGGTTTGGTATGGATCTTTCTATCCAGTGGAACTCTTCTTCCTTTTTGTCTGTGGTTTACAGATCTTCTTTGCTTTTGCATCTTGTTGGTTTTGGCCAAAGGGGCCTTGATGCGCTGGGTTGCTTGGCAACGATTGGTTGGCTCATCTGGAAGGCGAGGAATAACTTCATTTTCAATGGTATTGCGGTTGATACCTTTGTTATTGTTCTAAAGGCCCAGGGAATGTGGAATGAACGGTTTTTGTTGGTGCATGCTTTGAATCAGACTGAACCTATGGTTTTTCAGGGGGGGTGATGAAGTGCCTCAACCTGTTGTGTCTGAGACCCTGATTGCCTGTGACGAAGCCTTCTTACTGAGGTTTGCCAAGGCGGCTTGTGGGGTGGTTGCTTGGAAGGATGGGTGGGATCTTGTCTTTGGCAGTGCCAAGTCTTTCCATGCAGGGTCAAGTTTGCTTGTGAAGGCGGAGGCTGTGTGACAAGCTTGTCTCCTTGCTGAGGCCCAACTGGCTACTAATGCAACAATCTTGAATAATGGTCTTAGTGTCATCAAACTTAGCTCTACCGAGGATGCTCTGCCATGAGAGATAAGTGTAATTATTAGTGACATTAGACATTTTGCTAGGATTAGAAATCTTAGCTTTTTACACAAGCCTAGTGCTTACAATATGGCTGCTCATTGGGTTGCAGCCACTCAATTATCCAATTCTCTTCCATTGGATTGGATCGACTCCCCCCCACCTGAGCTTAAGGCTTCTCTTTTGAATGACTGTAATCAAAACTTTCCCACATAATGAATTTCAAACGGTGTTCCGATTGCTCAAAACAATAGCATTACTCAATTTTTTATGTTAAAGTTACATATTTAAAATAAAATGTTATAACTACTTAAGAGAAATGTCATCATTGATTATAGACTTCCCCGTTATAAGTTTTCCCTTATGAGTTGCAAGTTGATTTTTAAAAATTATATCTTAACTTTTAACACTTATAACTTTCGGTATCGATCGTAATGTCTTTCCAAAGATTTAACTTACACGATTATACCTCAAAAAATAAAAACCTAATTTAAAAAATTGGTAATTTTTGGTATGGTATTGTCATTGTATTCTTTTCCGCTCTATTGAGCTCTGAGTTCAGATTTGTTTGCTTTCTTTTTTATCAAAATACTATATACACCTAATTTATTAATTTTATTAATTTTTATTAGTATTTGATATATCAATAAATAAGGTCCAAATAGTATTGTTCTTTGATAAATTATGATTAAATTCAATAATTTATTGTTAAAATTGTTATGTCATTTAAGGTATATAAAAAAAATTAAGTTTTATAAATATTATTTAAATACTAACAAGAACTCTGTGTCTGAAGATACTCTATAATACTAAAAATTGAGCATTTATTGTATAAATTGTTTTAAATAATAATTTTTTAATTACGTAATTTAAATAATAACATAATTTTTTTGGGGGTGAATGTGTGTTTGTCTATATATAAATATAATGCTCTCAAGGTGCTCCTGTTTACTCTATGTGATTTATGTCGTAAGTTTGCCTGAGCTCAATAATTAGGGTTCTCTTTGCTTGTTCGTTGTGTTGTGTGAATCAGTGGATGTCTTTAGAAAGTGAAGGCCTTCTGGGTAATCCCTGCTCGTCCATCCTAAGAAAATTACATTTAAGAGAAAAAAAAAAAGAAAAAGAAAAATACAATCTTTGTTGATGTAAAAAAAAAGGAAAGAAGCTGGGCACAGTCATTCATGAGGCAAAGCAGAAACAAAAAGAAAGAAATGGCTTTATAAAGAACAAATAGTTATCAATACTAATATTTCATAACAAAACATTTTTTTTTTCTTTTTTCGGAGGTAGATTTATTCTAATACATTTTTTCTTTAATTTTCTTTTTAATAGATCACCTTCTATGAATTCAAGTAGGACTCATTACCCATAAATAAGTCTCTTACTCGGTAATAGTAGATGACCTGCTTAGAAAAAAAAATATAGAAAAATAGAATCAGAGGACACTACAAAAAATTGTGGACTTTTAGCCGCGAAAATTATTGCGGCTAATTTTATAAAAATTGTCACTATATATTTTATTGACAACTTTTTTATTGCCACAAGACTGCGGCTATATGTCCGTGGCTAAATCATTTACCTACAATATTTAATTTGTTGCCACTAAAAGTAATTTTTTTAGCCGCAACATGAAAAATGCCACTAAATATGAAATATTTAGCCTCAATAATTATTGTAGTAAGTTACCATAATTTTGCCACTAAAATGTATCTTGTTGCCACTAAAAGTCCGATTAAAACTTGATTTTTAGTGACAACAATTGATCGCGGCTAAAAGTATACATTTCACCTGCAATTAAAATCACCACTAAACTTTAGAACATATTTTTAGTGACAACTTATTGTCGTGGCTAAACATTAAAATGAACAAAAAAAACCTATTGAATATTTCCCAATTTCACATACCTGTTATAATTCAAGAAATTCATAAACACTCGGTTTCAAATATATAATTTTCAAGTCAAATCACGTGAAAACAATATTATGATATTCATATCATTAAATTATACGTGTACAATGCCTGAACATTAAAGAATAAAAATACATAACAATTCATCATAAGGTCTCAAGTCTCAACTACATATATTTTTTTTTTGACAGATTATTGGATCTTTCGTCTTAAATTTTCGGTGACGAGCTTTCTAAAGTTGTTTTCAGAGCTTCTATTAGTTTGTACCTTACAAAAATTTACATGTCATTAAAATACTTGAGTTACAAAAATGAAATCAAGATAACAAGAAACAAAAAGAGTATAACATACTTTAAATGCCGAGTCATGAGGATTAGAATTGTCGGCCATTAATTTTCGCTTTCCCATCAACATGTATTTAAAGATGAAAGCAAACTAATGTTGAATAACTGATCACTCAAAAAAACCGTACTTGAATCATGTTAGGCAGTATTACAAGAAATAATGGTGCTCCAGGTGATCCGCAGTGCACTCACTGTTACAAGAAGATCAACAAACACACTACATTTTAATCAAAACACTGATTCAGAAGCTCATGATAATGAATGTCAAATGGTTAAGTCCAAATCAACCAAAAAAAAAGAAGCAAAGAAGAACATTACATACATAACACATCTAATTGATAGCTACTAACCCCTTAAATCTTTAATTACCTCTCAAACAGCTTAAATCTTCCATCGACGATTGCCGTCATTTTTTTCATGGGGTTTATTTCTGAAAGGAATCATAGGTAAAGGAAATATACAACACATTCGTCCTTTGTTCATCAAATTTACACGTTAGGTTTTAAGCAAAGAAATTATTGATAGAACAGAATGTAAATTGAGAATGATTTTGTTCAGAACAGAGAAGAGACTTCCACGGGGGTAGGAATGCCAATCTCAGATAAAACTGACCTTGAAAGTACACATCCATTAGTCTTTTTGTCTAGTTGCCATGAGTTCTGTCCTAAAATTCCATATGCCCCTTCTAATCTAGATTTGGATTGTTTAGACTTGGTGGGAGAGTTCGGATTTAATCAAAAAAAGGAAGGAGGGGAGATAAGCAAATATCATGGACATGCAGAGCTCCCTGGAAGTGAAACTATAATTCAGCAAAAGACCACACCAAGAGCTCAAGAACCAACAACAGTTGACCCATATGCAACATTAAGCAAGTTCCAATTGTCCACCAATTGCAGCTTACATACAGAAGTCATGACTAGAAAAACCCCACTTTCAAGCAACAATCACCTTACCCAAAATAAAATGATATCCAAATCTGAAATTACCTCCAAAAAAAGAAAAGCAAGTTTGAGGAAAAGCAAGAAAATACAATTAACTGGGATAATTTAAGGAAAATTTATTCCAAGGGTAGAACAAGAAAACCTATGGATAAAAACAACGATTCCATAGATTGGGAGAGAGTTAGGGGTGCATCAGTTGAAGTGGTTTCCAAGACTATAAGTGAACCAGTAAGTATCATATGTCTATTGATCAATTACACTGAGGTTTCCAATAAAAAAAAAAAGAAGATTTCCTGATGTTGTTGCCCTGTAGGTACCCATTGGTGGATACCATCCAGAAATACTTGTGGCCACGCCTCTGCACCCTTCACAAATACCAAAAATATGTCAATTGAAGGTACTACATACAGACTAAACAATACTGGTAGAAATAGAATACACCAGAAATTTAGGACATTGAGGCAGATTCAAGCGAAATTAATAAGAAAATCAGCAGAAGCAATAGAATCAGTAAACGAATGAAAAATTGAAAAAACATGATTGGAAGGAAAATGAGATTTATTTGCAGAAGATGAGAACTGTTCGAGATGGTTCGGACGGACGATCAACATATACTTTGAGCCTCACACTCTTTCTCTCTATCTCTTTCTCTTGCGAACACACACACACACACACACAGAGACCAAATACTGTGCAAGTGATCGCTGTCTATATGATTTTATTTGATTTCAGAGCTTCAAAAAGAAGATTAGGATGATTCAAGGTAACCGACTATAATCAAGCCTTCGCCATTAACTCAGATACATAGTTTTCAATCATGCTATTTGCAGAGTCGACATGGATTCAATAGCAAATAAGTAATTAAGTTCATGGATAATGGCCCGATCGTTCAATCAGATGAGGAAAGAAAAGAATAAAAAAAAAAGAAAAAAGAATCAACTGACCAAACACCACAATAATTTCCACTAACTCACCACACATAAAATTCCTAGTAAGAAAAAACCCTAAACTATTACAAGATCAAGCTAAATAATTTTTCAATGCAAATTCATATAAATATGAAGCTACCACTCGCCAAATTCATGGCATAATATGAAGATGCAAGCTACAAATTTCTCTCAAAAGCAACTTACCGGCCACAATCTAAAACTCACAGATTTGTTGGAGAGAGGTCTAGTGTTAAAACTTACAGATCTACGCCCTAGCAAGTGGATTAGCACAGATCGTCCATGGCAGAGAGATTAATGGTAGAGAGGCTGAAGAAGATTTGGGAAGAATTGACCGTTGTGTGACGGATAACTGCTGTAGAAGAATTGGGAAGCGGTCAATGCCTCAGGATAAATGTTGATGAATACCTGCAGATCTGCCCTAGCAGATGGATTTAGGAGAGATTGTCCGTGGCAGAGAGGTCATCAATGGCAGATTGGTCGTCCATGGCAGATTGGTCGTCCATGGCAGATTGGTAGAATCCATCGTCGCACGAACGCAAAGATCAAGAACGAGAGACAGAGAGAGAGAGAGAGAGAGGTGAGGCTCAGAGAGAACTTGAACAAAAAATGATTTGGGGAAAATATGAAAAATAAGGTGCCGTTCGTATTATATGAAGGGCAGGAATTTTAGTTTTTTTTTTTTTGGGCTTATATTACATTTACCAGTGATAACTTATTTTCTAAAATTTATACAATGGCAAAAAAATAAAAGTTGTGACTAACATCAAGGCATATTTGCTGCAAGTATAAA